GAGTCTCAGGGATACATAATTTTTAAAAGCTGTGTGCATTGCGGGGGGGGAGAGATTTCTTGTTTCAAAAAAAAAGATATATCTTGAATTTCTTTGTTGGACTGCAAATATGAGGCTTGAATTTGAGTTTTCAGTGGCACTCTGAGCCCTCCCATTTTAACTCTTCCTTTTCAGATGAATGCGTTCACATTGACTGTAACAAATAACATTGCAACCTGTGTTATTTAATAGGCCATCAAGAAAACGAAGAGACCTTGGCTCTGTAGCAAATGCCACTGTGGTGATACCCACCCTCGCATCCTCTCCAAACAATTCTGCAGCAGCATCTGAGAATGCAGAGGAGCAGAAACCTTTTGAAAAAGTTAAGTCTAAGGAGTCTTTGGTTATCTCAGGCCTGCGGCATTTCACCGGTTACCGCATTGAGCTCCACGCTTGCAACCACGATGCTCAGGAATCCCGATGCAGCGTTGCAGCTTATGTCAGTGCCAGGACCATGCCAGAAGGTAATTATCTTCCTGAGCTTTGCTTTGGGTTGGTGGCTGTTCTCAAAACGCTGCTTTTCCTATGGGAGCCGGCTGCAATGCAGAAACATCGTGCAGGACTGGTGCTCTCTTTATGTCCTGATAAGAAAGGATGATAGATGAAGGATTGTCAGTTTTGAATTTTGCGAAAGACATGAAATAAAACTATAATTAATCATGACCTTGGTTCTAGCTAAGGCTGATGACATCGTTGGTCCTGTTACCCACGAACTGGTTGAAAAAAACACCGTGCATTTGAAGTGGCAAGAACCAAAGGAGCCAAATGGTCTTATTGTGCTGTATGAAGTGAACTATGGACGTCTCGGGGAGACGGAGGTGAGAATTCCTGCTTGTCCCTTAACACAGCACATTTGGAGAAGTAGCTGCGCCTGGGAGTCTGGGACAGTTTAGTCTTTAATAACCCTCGTGCATATGGTGTTGTGTCCTGTCTGGTTCCCTTGTGCGTGAACCAACGTGATATAAAACTTTACTAGTGAATTCATATCCTCTGGAAGGCTGCCTGTGGCGACACCGAGAAATAAAATTCTGCTTCTATGGTGCCCGTTTGCCAAGTAAGGATCTCTCACTTGCCAGCTTTCTGCACGGAGGGTTTTTTTTAGGAATTTTATTTCGCAGAAGGACAGAAAACATACCTCTAAACTTAAGTTGCTTGGAGAAATTAAGCAACCATTGAACAGGCGGAGAGCTTGTGGGCAGCGCTGCTGCCCGTGCAGAGTGCCAGTGCCGTGTGGGTAGGAGGGCTTGCCAGCCCCGGTCGGGTTTCAGAGCTGAGGTCTAGTACAGCAAATGGCATATGCTGTCTGTAATCCGAACTGCTAAACTGTAAAATGCAAATCCAGGACAAACCGCTATATTGGAAAAGACCTGAGCGTGTGAAAGCCCTATTTGTGTACATTTGCCAGACAAGGAGGTGAGGTAGAAATCCTAGCACGCTGTTACAGAGCTCTGGGCTGTTGCAGAGGTAGTGTAATGCAGCCTTCCTCTTCCCTCCTCCCGCAGGAAGCACACTACTGCGTTTCCCGTAAGCATTTTGCCAGTGAGCAGGGCTGTAAACTCCGTGGACTGCAGCCTGGAAACTACAGTGTCCGTATACGAGCTACATCACTGGCTGGAAATGGCTCATGGACAGAACCCACCTATTTTTATGTGGCCGATTACTGTGAGTTCATTTTTCTTTTCCAGCATGTAATTCCTGATAGAAACCCAGGTTATTTTTGGAAGTTGGGGGGTTTAGCAAGCAGTGCACAGGGAACTGTAGGGGGTTGTAAAATATTTACCAATACATCTACGTTCCAGAAACTGAAATGACTTAGAAATGTGTGGCTTTTCTTCATGTAGCTGTTGAACAGCAATTGAGTTCTCACTCTGACCAGCCCCACGTTCTGCATCTGATGTAGCCTCTAGTTTCCTATTTGTTCTAATTTATTCAAGGAGGGGGAATTTTATTGAGGAAAAGACTTGGATTTTGCACCTGTGTAATACCTCCAACTCTCTCTTTCTCTCTTAGTGAATGCTCAGCCTAACATTGCTGTTATAATTGTTCCAATTATTTTTGCCATAATAATTGCTGGAATTATCGGAGCTGCTTACGTGCTGGTGAAAAAGAGGTGAGTGCAATTTTATGTTGTTTCCACCAGAACAAGCAAAACTTACATCCAAAGATTTTGTTCTATTTGTTGTAAGTAAATCTGTGGTTGTTTTCTAATTTATATAATGATTGCAACATTAATTTAGTTTAGGAAATATTTTGTGCCTTTGGAAATTGGGACAGTTTGTATTTGCTGCATGCTTTGGGAATTAAGCAAACTACCTTCAAGTTGTACTGAGTCAAAGGCTGCAAAAGTGCTGAAGAATTTGTGCCTCTCTTCCAGACAAACCGAAGGACCAACCGGACCACTCTACGCATCCTCTAACCCCGAATATCTCAGCGCCAGTGATGGTGAGAGCAGTGAGGGCTTTCTTTGGGGCCTTATTTCTCATATGGTCATTCAGGCAGTGCAGCAGTGTGGGACCGGCATGGTCTTTATGGAGTTTTTCTAGTCTTTTTTAAATAATTTATACCCATGGTATCCTGTGGCAGCGCTACACAAGGCTGCTACAGTAATGGCTTTCAAAAGATACTTGCTCAATGCAAAAACATTTCCTTCTGCTCAACAGTCTATGTCCCCGACGAATGGGAGGTTCCACGAGACAAGATCACTCTCCTCCGAGAGTTGGGACAGGGCTCCTTCGGCATGGTGTACGAAGGGATCGCCAAGGATATAGTGAAGGGGGAGCCGGAGACTCGCGTAGCTGTGAAAACCGTTAACGAATCAGCCAGCCTCCGCGAGCGCATCGAGTTCTTAAATGAAGCTTCTGTGATGAAAGGGTTCAGCTGCCATCATGTGGTAAGCACCGCTGGGTGCCTCGGATGATTCCCAAGTCCCATCGCATAACTCATGGTTCTTCGGTGCTTTCAGAGCTTGGCGTTCAGCTTACAAAAGCAGCCCTTCAGCGGAGGCGGTTGATCAAAAAGAGCTGGGATCTTTCCGTGTCGTATTTTATAAAATGCATCTTTCAGAACTTCCTAATCACAACAGGGTTTTGTGGTGCTGCCCTGAGCTCTTGTTCGGGGGGTGCTGGCTTTGCTATATCCCCCTCTTTTCATAGCTGGGATCTGCCTGCTGTGTTTGGACACAACCTTGAGGGAATTTCTCCCTTATTTTCCAGGTTCGCCTCCTCGGGGTGGTCTCAAAAGGGCAGCCTACTCTGGTGGTCATGGAATTAATGGCACATGGAGATTTGAAAAGTTACCTTCGCTCTTTGAGACCTGATGCTGAGGTAAAGGCAGGAGAGAGGGAGTCTGTTGTGCCAGAGACTAACTTGACTGGGTTTTTAATACTTCTTTATTTATTGTAGAATAACCCTGGTCGTCCGCCGCCAACTCTGAGAGAGATGATCCAGATGGCTGCAGAGATCGCTGATGGCATGGCCTATCTGAACGCCAAAAAATTTGTTCACAGAGATCTTGCGGCTCGTAACTGTATGGTTGCAGAAGACTTCACTGTGAAAATTGGAGGTAAGTAGCATGTGATCAGAAGATAATTCCATGGGTCGTATTTGTTGTAAAGGCAAATATATGAAGCCCAAGACCAATGTGGCAAACACAGGTGATTTTCACTGGCACCCTTTCGAAATGCAGCAAACTTTCCTCTTTTCTTCCCTGTGAAAGAATTGTGTGGACATCAGTAAGAAAATAATCTCCCTTAGAGCCAGAGCAGCTTTCCTCGCCTTCTCTATTCTCAAACCTCTATCCAAAAAGCTTGTTGCCTTTCCAGCCTAGACTGCCTGGGGTTATCTCACTGTTCTTTGCTTTCATGAAAATTATGACAAAGAAGGTGTTGGGTACAACAACCCAAGTGTTGATAATCCTATCATTAGGTCAGGAGCCTTTTAGAAGTCATTTATCTTCCACAAGAACCACTTTTTTAACCCAAACCCTTTTAGAAATAAGTAAATACAACATTTAAAAATAAACCCAAACTGCAGAGCGTGATGGTTTTTCAGACCTCTTTGGACTCAAAGCCAAGGCAGTGGGATTTCAGGGGAAAGACAGCTCTTTTGCTTAAAGGGGATGAATAAAAACAATGTTTAATATCGATGCTATCATTAAAAGTTTTAACTCTGGAGTCTCTATCACGGCTCTGTAGAAAAAATGCAAGGAAAGGGAAAATGCTTTGAAGGTTAATCACAAGGCGACAAATGACTGCAAGTTAGGCCATAGGAGGCTTACGAAAATAGCTTGGCGTCAAAAGAAGGAAACGTTCATCTGCAGATGTCGCACAGTGAAAGTAGCAGGGAAGGAGAGCCATTTAACCCATCCCAATTGCTTTTCTCAGACTTTGGCATGACCAGAGATATCTATGAGACGGATTATTACCGTAAAGGAGGCAAAGGACTGCTGCCGGTGCGGTGGATGGCACCCGAATCATTAAAGGACGGGGTTTTCACTGCTTATTCCGATGTGTGGTAAGTGGTACTCTGCAGTCGCAGACGGATTCCAGCTCAAGAGCTCACTCTTTAGATGAGGTGCTTAGGGACATGGTTTAGTGGAGGGATGGCAGGGTTAGGTTAAAGGTTGGACTCGATGATCTTAAAGGTCTTTTCCAACCAAAGCGATTCTATGATTCTATGATTCTTTTAGCACGCGTGGTTTAAGTTATGAATTGCCGACTTCCTCAGAGTACAGACCAAACCCATTGTTTTGAAACCCCCTTCTTTAAAATATAGTTGTGTTCTTTTAATGTACATGTTCCCCCAGATAAGCCTGTCACTTGTGGATCTCCAAGATGTTTTATTCTCACCAGGACTCCTCTCTTTCTTAGGTCATTTGGTGTTGTACTCTGGGAAATAAGCAGTTTGGCAGAGCAGCCGTACCAGGGACTCTCCAACGAACAGGTGCTAAAGTTTGTAATGGATGGAGGATACCTGGATCAGCCGGACAACTGCCCAGAGAGGCTGTAAGTAGTAAAGCAGGGGACAATCGACCAGGCTGCACTCTTTCACTAAAGTGTGGCCAACAAAGGGGGCATGAGGCACCTCTTAACCCTTTCCCTGTTGGGGAGGAGCAAAACAGAGTTCAGTGAGCCACCTCTCACAGAAATTCAACCAATGCATCCTTAGTGATCCAGGAATTAAAGACCTGAGCCAGCCTGTTTCACTAGAAGGGAAATCAAACCAACCAACCTGGACCTTAACGTTGCAAGTACAGATTCAGGAGCAGAAAGTACAAAGCACAGGAAAAGCTTAAAATACAAAGAAGCACTGTATCAGTTGCCCAAACAAAATGTTTTTCCTCCGCTCCAGACAAGTGGATGGCAGTTGGCTTAGGTCACGTGGCAAAGCCTGGCCACTGTCTGCATCCACGTGGCTGCGGAGGCTGGAGAGCAGCTTGTTAATCCCAGGTCTGCTGAGGTTTTCTGTAATTCATCTCTCTGTGCTATGTAAATAATCTTGAGAATTTACAAGAACTTTTTACCGCTCATTTTCAGAAATCCAATTTAGGAGGGAGAGGCAGGAGAAGGCTGTGCTGAGCCAAGGGCTGTTTATCGTGTCCGAGGCCTTTTCATTTCTGTTTCAGACTCATTGCCCAGCTTAAAGTGCAAGGCTAGGCTGCAAGGTTAGGGAGAAAAGAGGGCACTGTGTGCACAGTGAAAAACACCTCGCGGAGATTGCAGGCTGACGCCAGACGTTCTCCTGCGCCGGGGTTAAGGGTTGTTCTCTGCAGCTGCTCGTGACATTTTCTGTCTGGAGGTTGCTGCGGCCCCCGCTCTGCCAGCACGGCTGCATACCCAGATGCTCCCTAAGCTGCTTCTCTCAGAGTCATTAAAAAAATCCCATTACTAAGTGTTTAACCTGAGCTAGGGTGTTTTGACAGAGGGGTGTGAGGAGCCACTGCTGAAGCAGCGTACAGCGGGGAGGGGCAACCTGGTAACCTCTTACCCCAGCCCATTTCTGGCCAAAACAGCACTTCCAGAGTCAAAAATAAACATGTTTTGTGAGTATCCTTATGAAAAAAGCCTGCTGTCCTGGCCATTCGTCTCTCGTGGCCAGTTACAAACTCCAGTTTGAAACTTTATTTGTACTTGTAAGTTCTTTCTCTGTGGTGTCTGATAACATACGACCCCTTGCCGCAGCCTTTCTTTTGGGTGGGGTGTTTACAGGACCTCTGTCCTCTGCACAGCCTCCTGTTTTCCTTGAAGCTTTAGGAGCTTTGTTATCTTTCAGGCTGAGTTAAAATTAAAATGGGATGAATTAAAAAATTGTGACCTGGCTATAAGTGCGTGTGCGCATACTGAACTGCAGCCCTGTTTCCTTCGGAAGCTGAGTTAAGAACAATTGAAGGAATTGGAAGGAATTTTTGATCTAGACAGAAATAGAGAAAAAGGAGTGTCAGGATCTACAGGCAAATATGGAGAGTGGCAAGAGAACAAATTCGGTTGGCGTGTCGGAGGGGTAGCGTGTCTGGTGGGTGGTCTGACATGGATGCCAGTCTCGGTCTGTGCCAGCCCTGCCTATGTGAAATTGTTTTCTTCCTTCCCCTGACTCGTGTTTGTCCTGATCTAGGCACAGCCTGATGCAGATGTGCTGGCAGTACAACCCTAAAATGCGCCCCACCTTCATCGAGATCATCGAGATGCTGAAGGAGGACTTGCACCCCAGCTTCCATGAGGTCTCGTTCTTCTACAGTGAGGAGAACAAACCTCTGGAGACAGAGGAGTACGAGATGGACTTTGAGAACATGGAGAGCATTCCCCTCGATCCCTCCTCGTACTCGCAGAGGGACAAAGTCCTGGGGCGGGACAATGGACCCTCCATGGCCCTCAAGGGGAACTATGAAGAGCACATACCTTACACTCACATGAACGGTGGCAAGAAAAACGGGCGGATTCTCTCCATGCCCAGGTCAAGTCCTTCCTAACGCTTCCTGTTTGGCCCAAGGGTTGTGTCTGCTTTTTTTCCCCTCCACAAATCTCAGGACTCTTGTTATTGCTGCCACAGTGTATGACACACATCTACAGACTCTTCAGATTTTTAATCATCTTATGATTAATACCTTTTTTTTTTTTTGCCAAGTTGACTGGTTGTCAGTGGACTTATCTGTGAACATAAATGGAAGAGGTTTCCATGGCTGCTGTCCCTTCTGTAACCATGGTTTCAAAACAGGAAGCGACCGTGTGAGTTAAACTGAAGGAGGAGCATCCACGTTTGCCAACAAAAGACGTGAAATTTTCTGGTATCTGAGCTACAGCGTAACGGTGCGGAACAAAACTTCTGCAGGACAAAAGCATTTCCAGTAGAATTCCAGGCTTTCAGGCATACTCTTCACTACGGCTGAAGGATTCAACACATCAGTCGGACGCGCCAGATCCTCAGATTGACCAATAGCTGCTGCTTTCATACTTTTTAAATGGGTTAAATCCCAGGGGTGCGTGCGTGTGTGTGTGTGCGCGTGTGTGCAGTATATATATGTGGGGTGTATATGTATAGCAAAATATACACTTCTTTTTTTTGTACATAAGTTTTGTATGTTCTCACAGAAGCTTTCCTCTTCTTGGAAGTGTGTACTTATCTTTTTTTTCCCATTTCCCTGGAGTGACTGAATCCTAAACAGATTATTTTTATACTAAGGACTCTTGGGAGTAGGTTTTCTCTCATTAACAAATGAGGAAAATGTGCTGGGAGCCAAAGGAGCAGAAATCTGAGATTTGTGGGTACTTTCAAGACCAAACGAAGTAGGAGTCCCCTGACCTGAGACGCAGAGTTTTTTGTCCTTACAGTGTTGAGTATATATATTGTTTGTTGTAACATATTTAAAAATGTCTTTAGTTTAAATTTTAACTTCATATAAATTATTGACTGTTTATGATCCTTTTGGGGAGGGGAGAATTTGGGGGATTGTTTGGTCTTAAAGTGGTCCAAAGATTTCAGAATGAACTAATTTTAGCCAATTACCCTTTCAGGAGCTGTGAGGCGCGTGTTAAGTTTATACTTGATGTGGCTTTATAATAGTTTCATGATTTATACAGTGCGGTCAGCTGGCTCCAGTCGAAGCCTTGAGATAAAGTAGCTGGGACTTCACTTGGTTGTTGGGGGCTGAAGGACACCAGAACATCCCGGTCCCGAGTCCTGCTACTCCTTTGTCCCCGCATCCCTTGCTTTGCCTTCTGTGCACACTTGTGCTGCAGAAGCAGCCGGAAAGAGAGGACGAGTAAGAACTCTAACCGAAAAAAAAAAGAGACACTAAAGCCAAGCTAAAGGGAGGAGAGCGCAAGGCTCTTGGCTCTGCACGTGAAGCAGAAGCTGAATGTGACTGTGGTGAGCTACCTGCTGCCTGTCTGCTGCTGCTCGGGCGCCTGGCCTCGTGCTGCCTGCAGGCCTTCGATGTTTTCCTGAGATACCGCGCTGTGTCCTGCACACTTCCCGGGACGCGTGCGTTAGCCACTGCTTTCAGCTCTTCGGGATGTCAACTTTTCGTCTTCTGGACTGTGCTTTGTTTTGCTGCTGTTTGCATAAAAGACAGAGCTGATCAGCATAAGATGTTTAGAAAATTAATTGTGCAACTAAACGTGTCGCGTAGTGATGAAGGGAGTGTGCTGGCAGGGAGAAGTGCTAAAGCAAGAAATGAAGATTCTCGATGTTGCAGGCCCTTGTCATACAGGAGGTGCTTGTAGAAGGGGAGAGAGATGCTCGGTCCTCCACTTCTCCTCCTGGAGAAGTCCCAAGAGCCAGGTTCTGCCCTCTGCCAGGAGCAAACGAGGTTCTGACTCAGTGAGAGTGGGGACGCCAAGCTGGGGGTGTGAGTTCTTATTCCAGCCCGGGCAGCGCTGCTGATTTCTCCATGTAGTGAAAGGAAAGGGGCTGGCATTCGCAGGGGAGCGCCTCTCCGAGCCGGCTCCGCTCGGCCACGCTGTAGCTGAAGCGGTTGGTGCAACAGCGGGGGAGGACGGCGGACTCTGAGCACCACCACGAGCTGTCGGCCCTTTGCGCTGGTCGAATTGGGTCAGTTCGGACGGAGGTGGAGGGTGCAGGTTGCTCACAAAGTTAGGTGGGAAATAGACGGTCCAGCCGTGGGTGAGAACCTTCGATTTCAAAAGGCCTCGTTTACAGTTCTTCTGCTTTACAAAGTAGTAACTGTTCAGCAGCTCTATGCTACACTGCAGGAAAGAAGACATATTCTCACACTTTTCTAAGGAAGAGAAGTTTTTCTTATTAGAATTTTTTTATTTATTTTAATATATAAAACACTGTAAAAAAAAAAAACCAACAAACAATTTGTTTTCTTAAACACACAGACCGTGTAAATTTGTATCCATAAAATCTTGGCAAGTGGATGTAGTGGGATTATTTTTGTCCTGTTCTGGTGCAGTCTACCTCAGTGTTTCTTAAGGATATTTTTACTACTACGCACCTCTAAACCTGTTTAAATATTCTGGTCTGGACCTATTGTGGACCAGGGAAAATCAATATCAGCAGATTCCAATACTAGGGACCATTCACTGAAGGGAATGGGTAGGAGAATGGCTCGTCACTGTTTGTCGCTAATCTGAGCAGTAGTGACCAAAGGAACTGATTGACAAATTTGGATCGGATACTCTGGGAGCATCCTCTTTGTTCTGCTGTGATTAAAAGAAAAAAAAAACAGAATAAAAGAGCCATTTAAATGTTTGGACTTTAGTGAACTAATGGCCTAAGAGGAGCAGACCACTTCCTTCTAGAGCAGCATTTGCCAGCGTGGAGCAGGGGCTGTGACATGGATTGGGATGTCTCGGTCACTGCCCTTCTCACTGGGCACAGGTAATCCTGAGTCCTGCCGGTGGGATGCGACTCCTGAAATAAACCTCTCCCGTTGTGCTGACATTTTAAATTGCAGCGATCATAGCTGGGGGAATAGCAGATCTTTCTTTTATATAAAACAAACCTTGGAACCTTGTATTGGGTCTGGCTTTTCGACTTGGTTGATATTGGTTGGCCCTCTGAGTACACACGAGTTGCAACGCTCAGATTACTGAACAAGGGAATATGTGTTTTGCTTTGTGGACAGGCAGTCCATTCACATGGCTCATGGCGTCATCTTCACTCTGCACCACACGGAGCGGTTGTTTATACCCAGTACTGTGCGTAAAGATTATTCCCGTCATCCTTTCGACATTGTACCAAGGGTGAGGAATGGTACTAGCGGTGAGGCTGTCATTTTTCCCCTTTTTAAAAAACAAATAACACTAGCGATTGCCACTCGTGGCTGTTAAAGATTACCCTCATCTATAGAATTAGGAAGAATAAATGCGCATCATTTGTAAAGCCCAGCTCTCGCTTCTAGAAAATCCTTTACTCCCAGCCCGCAGCCGACACATTGGTCTCTGTTGTTGGAAGATCCTCGCCCTGGGGATGCCGAAGTCCCTCGCTTGGATCTGGCCGATACCTGTTCAGAGACCCCGGGGGTCGCGTACAAGTTGAGATTGCACGCGCTCAGCAAAACCTGCTCCGTGCGGGGCGTTGCAAAGGACTCGTGCCTTCGTCGGGGGAGCTGCCGCTGTTTGCTCTGATGAGATCCCCGTCGGGGTGAGAATATCACAGCTGCCGCGGAAGCACAAGCACTCGCTGCTGCTGAGTGATGAGGAGGAGCCAAGTGATAGCGCAGAAGAGCAGGTAGAGTGGCTGGGCCCCTGACCAGCAGGTGGGAAGCTCTTCCTTTCCTTGAGGTAGTGTTCATCGGAGGGTTGGGTCCTGCCCTTCCGTGGGCAGAAAACATCCCGCTGGCAGTGCAGGGCGGCAGGACAGACCCTTCGACCTGTTCCGGAGCAGCTGTAGCCTCCTGTGCACAGTCCAGGGACAGGGAGGGTACCAACAAGTAGCCAGAGCTTCGCTATCTCTCCAGCTGATGAAGCAGGAGGTATAAGAAACAGCTTTCTGTGCTCTGCTGTGTTTTCACTGAGCAGATGTTTGAAGCGTGAGACCGGGGAGGTTTCTCCGAAACCTTTGCACATGAAATTCAGTTGCCATTTCCTGAACGCCTCTTGCCAATCTGGTACTTCTCTTGCAGTACAGCGCAGCATCGCAACGCTTGGCTGCTGGGTTAGAAACGCGTCTTTCTTGGCTGCTTGTAAATACTCTATTGTGTTGTAAAATAGAAGAGCTAATAACATAAACTCTGTGCCAGCACTGGGTTGGGAAAAGGGATAGGAACTAGACCGCGCTGCAACGAGGGTATCTTCTGTTGATCGTAAAGCAGCTGTGTTGGTATGGAAGAGGCTGCTTTTAGGTTGCTCAAGGGTACTCTTAATTTATGGATAGTATCTCTCTTTCCTCCTAAATTTGTATTATAGCGATGGGACACTTGGCTTAATTTTAGTATGTCGCATATAACGTTGGTATCTCTTTGGAAAAATGGCGAAGTCGCTTGCTGTGTTACTGACCTAACTATGATGAAGGCAAGTAGGAAGAGACAGGAGCGAGAAGGGTGCTGTCGGTTATTCCTGAGCCTCTGGTTTAGGGGAGGGAGAGAGGCAATCGAGTTCCCTCTTAACATCACTGTGATACGAAGATGGACCCTGAGGTACTCCGGGCCCTTCCCTGCGAGCAGTGATTCCTGATACCAAGACTGGAACCTTGTTTTACAAGTCAGAAAGTAAAATATCTTTGTGCCATAAAAACCTTACTCTCAAGGCTGTGCTAGGTGCTCCCGTGATCCCTGTGAGATCGGTTCAGAGCCTGGAGTGAGCAAGAAACTGCAGATAAACTCTCTGATCCTCTCGCTGTGTCCCAGCCTCCCCCAAAGCTGCCCATCGCTGTGGGGAGACGCAGGCACGGCCACGGCAGGAACCCCTTTCCCTCTGCGAAACGGCCGATGCCCCTCGTAGTTTCCTGTGGTCCAGGGAAAGAAACTGTTGAATGGATTGGAATCAAGAAGTAGTTACTTCAGAAAGACATGAAATTCAAAATACGACTAGTTTGGTATTTGTCTGAACTTAATTGAATTTGGCCTTTTTATTACCTTCTGCTTGGCTCTGTGTTACCTCTGCTTGGGTTCTGTATGTGAATGTTGGTGTAAGAGCATTGACACGTTCAACCTGTTCTGTTCCGGCTTGCCTTGTTCCGGGCATCACAAGGGTGAAGCCAGTCGTACAATTGACTTTTGGAGGAACCTGACTGTTCCAAAGCAATTCTAAAGCTACCGGTTTTAGCAAATCTGCTGTCATTAAATGTGTATTTCTTTTTAATATGAAATGACTTGTCCTTCTTGAAAGTAAGCACTTATTCTTGCAGTTTCAGCAAATTAACTGCAGCACAATGCAAGCTATAAGGGGACAGGTAGAGAAATGACTTTTTAAATACTGTATAATAAAGTTAGTATTAACTCCTACAGCGTTGTTATTTTTCTGCCAACAGATTTGCAATCGGCAAGAAATTCTGTTAGTCGCTTTGTTCCAAGCCCAGCGTTCCAGCTGATGGTACTAAATAGTTTCTTTTTCTCAGACTGGAGAGTCCCTGTGGGAGCAGGGTCCGGCCGGCTGGGAGGACCCGGGGTAGCTCTGGCAGCCGGAGAGGAGCCGTCGGCGGAGCTCAAACGTGGGCACAGCCGCGCTCGCTTCGCTGAGTGCCAGCCCCTGTTAAGTCCCAGCATCACCAGTAAAGCCTGAGCTCAGGATTAATTACCTGAGATGTCTGAGCTGGACTCGATACCAAAGCTCTTCTGTTAATCCAGATTCTCCCAGCAGCATCCAGGAACACTTCCACCACCTCAGTGTCTGAATTATTCTCCCGTAACCGAGTCCTGTCAAAACTGGCTGACAGAGGATTTTAGAAACGCCACTTGTAAATCTGAAAAGATGGGAGAAGATGGAACATTATTTGAAAAGGAAAAGCATTTCCTTTTGCTTGGTTTTGGGCAATGGTTTTATTCGTGGAGTATCAAAGCAGTGGTTTGTGTTTGAGGACCTGCATGGGTGGGGGTGCTGGGGCTTTACCAAACAGCCAAAAGCAAATGCTTTCTGCTTGCAAGTAAATAAACTAAAGACAGTTTCAGTTACGTGTTAAGTGATGATGTTCTGTGAAGTTTTCTTTTTTTTTTTTTTTCTGTTTAATCTTGCTGCTCCCACCTTTCTCTCTGCATATCAAAGGTTCCAGAATACCAATAGTACTGCAGATACCTCTTGTTTGAAATAAAGGATCATATGTGCCATGATTTTTTTTTTTAAAAAAGGAAGAAAAAAAGAAAAACCTTCCCCCTTGATTTATTTTTTTCAATGTTTTCATATATGAGCCAAGCAGTGACCTGTACCGAAGAGACCTTTGCATATTAAGAAAAAAAAAAAACCTTGCTGTGTGTCAGAATATTGAAATTAATTGTTTATATTAAAATTCTGAATAAATTATCCAAGAATAACTGTTCATTTTGTGTCTGCTGTCCGTGCAGCACTGAACGCTGCTTCACCACAGAGAAAGCGCTAAATTTGTGCCTTGGAATAAGCAATACTTTCAGTTGCAAAATGAAGGGTGTTAAGAAAAAAAAAAACAACCCGATCTGCCAATTATAGGCTTGTGGTCTGAAACCAGTTTAACCCCTCTGCCTGACAGCCTGGGCCGTCCGCGCTGGGCTGTGTCCTCACCGTGGAGTTCTCGGCAGCCCGATGCCATCGGGTAAACATTGGTAAAGGGATTCCTTCTGCCTGGAACGGCGAGAGCTGCCTCTCTGTAACGCAATTCTGTTAGGTCCACGTGCGCGGACCCAGGCTTCCCTCCCCGTAGGGGGACAAACTCCTGCCCAGGCAGTTGTTGGAGGATCTGCTTCATCCCTGTCCCACAGCTGAGCAGCGGAAGCTGGGTTTGCACCAGGAACCATCTCCCCTCCTGTCCTGCAGCAGGCCACTCTGGAAGCGTAAAATCTTTCTAACTTCGATCTTGTTTTGTTTCACCAGAGGTGAGATTTCCTTCCTGATCAGCTGCGTCAGCGAGGCGGGGGACTTACTGGTGCTCTTTTCCTTCTCACTGTACTTGGCCGCTCAGTTAAGATATCCTGCTTCCCTTCCATTCACTTCAGTGTCGCGCTGGTCCCCCTCGCCTCAGGATTGCCACTGCCCGTGTCTGTGGGAGCCACGGCCAGTGCAGGCTCCTCCCGGGAGCTGATGGCCCAGCAGGATGGCACAGCAACACAGCTGGTGGAATTAATCATTTTGGCCTAATATTTCCTGCCCCGTGGCTCTGTCCAGCCACGGGATGGTGTGCCCGGCTCCCTCGCTGACAGCCTGCGCTGTAGCCCTGGCTCTTTACGCCTTGCCCTGGCAATGGTCCTTCCCTGCCCGACCTGAACGTGCTACCGCATGGTTCGGGGCTGCTCTGGACCCTCCTGGAGCTCTGCTCTGCACCGCGTCTGACCTGCCCTTCAGGGATGTCGTTTGACATTTGTGCAATGAAGTGTTATAGAGATGTGTATAGAAGCTGCTTTTTCCAAGGGGGTCGAGGAAAATCCTCACTGCGCTCCTCACCCCTGTCCCTGACAAGTTCCAGTAACTCCTCAGCCCAGGGCTGGGATGGGGATGATGTTGCTGGTTGAACAAAAAGCGTGCGGTGCTGATGCCACCTAGTGCCTCTGAACGTGGGCCTGGATGAGGCACGCGGAGCTGGCCCTGCTCTGCCCACCGC